TTATTATATACAAGCGGAAAATTACAAATATGGAAAAGAGAATAAAATTAAATCAAAATAAAGAGAATAGAATAAAATCAAATCAAATCAGAATAAAAATAAAATCCCTAAAAATTAGCCTATACTGAAGACCCAATAAATCTGCCATAATCGTTGAGTCAACTTATAGACAAGATTTCCAACATATACAATTCAAATCTCAAGTGAATTTACAAACTGATATAAGGTTGCCAGAGAGATTTGGAACATGTACGACAGATTTAAGGACAAAATCCTTTGAAATAATTATGGAACCTTTCCCTGCAACTGATGATAATGTACCATCTGCAACTAAGGCTGCAAATGAATCGAGCCGGGCCGAGCTTTGGGTTGCTCTGGCTCGGCTCGTCATCTTCACAGAGGTGCTCGGGCTCGGGCAAGCTTGGCCTAGCCGGGCTCGGTTCGTTAAATTTTCAACAAGCTCGGGCTCGGCTCGGCTTGGGCTCGGTTACAGATCACCTAATCAAAAAAATTCATAACCACCGATCTCCATCTCTGACGGGAAAAATATCGCTGAAAAAAAAGGGAAAAAAATACAAAACATATACATCCTCAAGGTTTTATCGATTCAATAAAGAACAAAATTTGACTATGAAATTAAACTTGATTTTGTTATCTACAAATATTTTGCATTACTAGATTTTAAGAATAATTAGAGTGAGAAAGACAAGACAGAGCTGTGTTGTGGAAGGTTGTTGGCAGGATTCATGCCATGGAGATTGTTCATTAGAAAGAGAGAGAGAGAGAGTTGTGTTGTGGAGAGTTAATGGCAATATCATGCTATGGATCGAGCTGAAGACCGCGGTTGACTCCTCCTTCTAGGGTTCATTCTTTATCCCTTAGCATTAGTAAAGCATCATTGTACAAAAAGATATCTAATGGTTGAGATGAATATTGGTTGATGGGTTAATGAATTAAATAATACCTATAGAATGGGAAAATTACTGTAAAAGGTTTGTAGTTATGTGTGCAATATATTATTTTTTTATTTAGGGTATAAATAATTGACCATTGTACTAATAGTGTTGTAGGAGTCTTGTTGTTTTCGTAGTGCAGGTCTTGTAGAGAAAATCAAGTGTATAAGCTATGTTAGTGGGAAATCCAAGGGCTTATATTGTGTGGTCAACATGTGGTTAAATCTAATAATCACCTCTTCATCAAGCTGTCATCATGGGTCTTTGGTCCACACATATGAGATATACATATTTCATACATCAGAAAAACCAAACAATTGTCTTCTCTTGAAAGATGCCCATCATTTGTGTGCGTGGAATCTCTTTTTCAAACAACTACATTGATATGTGTGTGTATATATATATATAATAAAATCAAAGTCTAGATTATCTTATATATAACATCTATATATATATATATATATATAACGAACCTTGATCGCGGGCCTTAACGAGTTTTGTTCACGAGTCTTAACGAGCCCATGTTCACGAGCCTATACGAGCCGAGCCCAACATTGTTCGGGCTCGGCTCGTTTAGTAAACGAGCCTAAAAATTGGGCTCGAGCTCGGCTCATTTGCTTAACGAACGAGCTCGAGCTGAGCCCTTAGCGAGCCAAGCCCGAGCTGTTCATGAACAGCCCGGTTCATTTGCAGCCCTATCTGCAACCTTAACTTTTTGTTGTCCCGAGGCTGGGAAATAGGGATTGAAGAGGCTGGACGAACCTGTCATGTGGTCTGAAGCCCTAGAATCTATGATCCAAGGGCTGGTTTTTGAAGTTTCTGTGTGTAAAGAAGTTACCTACTTGTGCAATATTTGCTGAAGGGGAAGGTGTAGCATTGGCACTGAGTTGGCTCATGAATTTATGAAGATAATCTATCTGTTATTTGCTGAAAACAGTAGTCTCCGAGCCTTTCTGCACATTCTGAGTCTTCAGGTTGTCAGCTGCTACCTGATAACCTCGGTTGGGCTGGCTGGATTGGTTGTTGTTGCTGCCGGGCGTGGTTCCTCGTCCAATGCCTTGCGGTTTCCCATGAAGCTTCCAGTAATGATCTCTTGCATGACGTGGCTTGTTGCAATAGTCACACCATAGTCTGTCTTTGTCCTCATTTCTCTTATTGGTTCGCTGTGCTCCAAGAAAGGCATTCTCGGTGTTCATAGCCATGGCTGAGTCCTCATTACCTGAGTTATTTGAGCCATTCATCGTCACAGCCAACCTTGATTCTTCCCTTCTAACTTCAGCAAAGACCTCTCTAATAAATGGAACTGGTTTCCTTCCAAGCAATCTTCCTTTAACCTGATCGTATTCGGTATTTAATCCAGCAAGAAAATCAAACACTTTGTCTCTATCAAGAATCATCTTATATTTCATGCTATCCTCCACATTCATATTGCTGGCAATCCAGTCTACCATGAGTGGACTAAACACATTGAAGTAGATTGTCATTTCATTCTATCTAAAGTTGACTCGAATGAGATTGTTACACCTTTGTTCCTTCTGGCAGACAGCTGGCAAACATCTTCACTAAGGCGCTTCCCAAAAACTCTATTGATTCCATATGTAGTAAGCTGGGAGTTATTGACATTTACTCTTCAGCTTGAAGGGGAGTGTTGTACAGTATTGTATGAGTTGTCACACGTGTACATAAAGATTACATTGTATACTAGGGTTTACTAGTATTTTCTATATACTATAGTCGCCTTCACCTCTCCAGCTTGAGGGGGAGTGTTGTACAATATTGTATAAGTTGTCACACGTGTACAAATAGATTACATTGTTTACTAGGGTTTACTAGTATTTTCTATATTCTGTAGTCGCCTTCACCTACCCCTCATTACAATATATAACATTACCATTACCATGTATAAGGTTAATTTGTTCTCCACTCACCTACTCCTGTAGCTTCTCCTATATAAACACCATTGTTTTATTTTATTACTCACTCAATAAAATATAAGTTTTCATATATTCTCTCTCTTTCAACAATATTAAATAAATTTTTGTATATGTTTGTAACATTAAATTGTAGTAGTTCTCATTGGAGATAAAATGATAACAAACGATTAAGATAGTTTAGTTTTGTGCAAAGAAATCCACTAAGTGTCCGAGTTAGGAAGAGTGACACGGTCACATTGAGGGTAATGCTAGAGGAAGGGGATGATTAAAATTAACATTAGTAGAGTTAGTAAGGAAATATATTCTTACATGTAGTTTGATTGAAGCTATAGTTTTGGATAGAGTAGAATGAAAAAATAGGATTCATTCAGTTAACCCCAAGTAGTTGGGCAAAGGCCTTTTTTTCGGGGATTGTTGATTGTTACATGAAACTATAATCATAATCACTTGGCAAAGAAAAATATAACCATGTCCTAAGGACACGGTGTATTTCTGTACACCTGTGTTTGTTTGTGTATTTAGATGTTAACATATTGTTTAATGACTCTTGTTTTACTCCCAATCTCTTGTGCCCTCTCGTTTAGAAAGATTTTCCTTTAATTTTTGTATTTTAATATGGTCAAATTTTATGTGATTCTTATATGAACTTATTTATTTATTTACACTTATGCTTGGAGAAGTTTCTCTGTTAGACGTGATTGACATGGAGTCTGTGTTCTTATATCACAATTGAGATTGTGCAAAAGATCTTGCTGTCATGGGCCGGGAGCTTGCGATCCCCCACGAAAGCTTAAGCTATTAGGTGGTGCTTCTTATATGCTCAAGACCCTCCCCATCGGAATTCGATGTGGGACAAACCAATGACATTCTCCCCCACCCAAAACCCGTAGCGCCCTCGTTGCGGTTCCCTAACGGCGGGGTACAGGTTTTTGACTCGGACACTTTCATGTGAGCACTTGGCATGACACCGGCTTAAGAATTGGGCCCGGTCTGATACCATTTCTCATGGGCTGGGCACTTGCAATCCAACCCAAAAGCTTAAGCTATTTTGTAGTGGTAGCACCCGCCCTTATATGCTCGAGACCCTCCTCATCCGGATTTGATGTGGGACGAGAACCCATGACATTGGCAATAAATATCTTCACATGTTATTTTAGTCCATCATATAGCCATCTCTTCCAATAAAGCAACTAACTTCTTTTTTAGAATACCTTTCAAGCCCATCCATGTTTTTGTTGACAATTGCCCTTATTCAGTATTTTCTTGCTTCTCACTGTTGGGTTCAATGCAGTTTTTTTCTTCTTCTAGAATTCCAATCTTATCTCAACTGGCTTCTATTTCTCTTACTTTTCTCTCTTAAGTTCCCATTTTTTGCTGGACGTTTGGGCTATATCTCAACCGATCTAATATGTTCACTATGTAATTGTATTTTATCTAGTTATAGTGTTTCCTCCACTTCATTTTAGTTTTTTTTTTTAAGTTGGCTTTTAGTTTATGAAAATGTTGTTTCTTAGTTTCCCAATTTTGTGCCTCTTCAACATAGCTGCTTTCTATGTTGAAGTGCAGTTTACTTAATCTGCAGAGGCAAATCTTCATTTGCTGCAGGGATGATAAAGGAAAGATGGGAAAAAAAAGAAACCTGAAATCTTCTGTTTCCATGTACATTTTTACCGAGTGGTGTCCTTATTAATGACTTTGCCTCCATTTGTATTTTTGACTTATAATATAAAATAACATATATTGTCATGCCTGACGTGATTATTTCTTAGTTTTTGTTCAAATATATATATATATATATTTTGCAGGGTACACTCTTTACATCTCATCATCTAATACTGATGTAAAACTAACATGCGCTAACTATTTGAGAAGGTTGAGTCAGACAATGGTGAAGGACTATATATAATTTAAATGATAATATAGGCCTAGTGTGCACCTTTAATGCATTTGTTGATGGCAGCAGTAGAAGCAATTTTGATTTGCTCTGCTTTTATCTATGATGCCTAATTTTGTTCCGATATTGAGAGTTCATATCTTATATGTATTTTCTTGAGCATTACTTACTAGCCAAAATAGCTTTAATTGAGAAAATACTGAATAATTTTGGGAACAGGTTCATGATGAAGTAATCCTCGAAGGACCGAAAGAGTCAGCTGACATCGCCAAGGCCATAGTTGTTGAGTGCATGTCCAAACCCTTTGACGGCAAGAACATTCTTAATGTTGACCTTTCTGTTGATGCCAAATGTGCTCAAAACTGGTATTCTGCCAAGTAGGCTGTGGGTTTTGTTTGCTGAAACAGATGCAGATTTGGTTGAATCCCTGCCCCCTTCCCACCAGCGTGTGATTTGTGGCGGCTTGGGGATGGAGTCTTGTGACCACTGTACTGTGTTGATTTTGTCTATGTCAGCGCAGAGGGTGAACCAAAGTCTTGGGAGGTACATGTTTTTTTTTTTTTTTTTTTTTTTTTTTTAATGCAGTTATGTAAATCTGTACTGGAACCATGAGAGCCTGCAAAAAATCTATCCGTTGTATATTAAAAAATCTTACATTTTGATAGCAGTACAGTCTGGTTCTTGTCATTTGTTGCACAATATTAAAGCTCAATTTTATCAAAAGCCTAAGAGCCCTAAATCCTCATTTCAATGCTCTGTTTGTTATCACCGGAATGACCAAATTAGTTGCAACGGCAATTTGATTCAGACTGTGGACTTGGTTTTGGGCCTTTTGGTTCCAACCCTTTGTTGGTCCAAATGGATTTCTTTTGCTTCTTGGGCTTGGGTTGGGTTTTTATACTGTACATTTTTTCTTTTTAACCAAATTACTTGACCATTCAAAAAAAATAAAAAAATAAATAAAAAATATCCGACAAATTGAATTCTCTTAACTCCTACAATACAGTACACTTTTTTTTCCCCTCTTACCATACAATATATTACAAAACTACGAATTTAACCCTATCATATATGATAAACTGTTCAATAATTAATTCCATTAAATACAAATATGCTCAATAAACATAATAATAATAATATACGCATTGCTTCTTTTTATATGACGGTGGTGCTTGAATAAACAAAATAATAATAATAATAATATATATAGTTCTGATGGTAAAAATAAAAGGTAATCAATTATCAAATAATAATAATAAAGACACAAAAACAAGAGTCATGTTATATCAGTGAAATGAAAATGAATACAAAAACAAATTAAAATGAATGAAGTAATAAATAATTAAAATAAAGGGGCTGGCTTGTGTTAAGACGTGTTTCCCTAAAAATCAAAGATTTTAGCCCTTTGGAATATTACATGCTTCATACTCTTGTACTTGCTTGTCTCGCTTGTCGTTTTCTAATGGCATTTTAAATAATCACATTACTAAGATTCATTTTTTTTTAATGGGATAATTAACAAGGCCGTCCCTAAAAGATTTTGGTTTTAGTGTTGATTACAATAAACTATTAAATCCAATTCAGTGCAACTTTAGTGACCATGCTACGAGCGAATTTAATTCGTGAATTTTTGTTTTTAAAATTAAATGAACCGGATAAATTCATAAGTACATTACCAAGGACACGTAGTTTAGTGAAATTTTCGAAACAATCGCGCGGAGGGTTTTAGGTTTCTACTAAAAATATATTATTAAAATTCTGTCAAAAATGTAGTTCACTATATTATTTCATTATATTCCTTCAAAATGATCTAATTAAAAATTGGAATATGATATTAAACATATAATAACAATATCTCAAAAAAGAAGTTAGTTCACTATATTATTTCATTATATTCCTTCAAAATGTTTTTCTTTCAAATAGGTTTGTCTTTTGGTGCACCCCTTGGAAATCAATTCGAAAGAGTTAGGGTCCACACCTCTTGTGCATCAACGATTCAAACCTTTTTTTTTTTTGTTTTTTCATTAAAAAAAAAAACCTTTTTTATTTTGTTTTTATTTTTAAATTTTATTTATACGTATTAAAGTTAAAGCATATTCATAAATTCAAGGGAAGATCATATTAACTGACAAGTGGTCCCCCACAATCCAAATTTATTGCAAGATAGATGTCAATTTTATGGCAATCATACTATTATAATTATATATGTATCTACATTTATATATCCAAACTTTGTCATTTTACCGGCGTACAACGAACGCTGATGGTCCCACATGACAAACTCAATCTCATCAAGTAATCTGAGGACTCAGAAGTTGAATTTTCCTCCGTACACAGTGTATTTTCATATGTGAATCTATTTGTTGATGGAAACTTGAATTATCATACGATCTCGTCTGATAAGCATCATATTTATGTGATATATATACAATTTCATATCCAATAACACACACATTATGGGGTCGTTGAAGAACGATGATGAATTGGAGATGGTCGGCGAAGAGTGCAAGGAAGCAATTTTGTACGTCAACGGCGTTCGTCGAGTACTACCTGATGGATTGGCTCACATGACTCTACTTGAGTATCTCAGAGGTTAGTCTTTTGGGAATCAAATTCACTTTCAGCTCTGTTTGATTGCCGAGAATCCTCAGGAAAATGGGAAAGAAAAAAAAGAAAAAAAAAAATCCTGAACTAGCTAGACAGTGAAACTATAGTTAGTTGAGTGATTTGTGATACAAAGCTTCATTTTATTTTCTTTGGAATCTCGATTCTTCTTGTTCCTTTTTTCAGGTTGCAAGTTGGGTATTTATTTTATTTTATTTGATTTTATTTTTTCGTAAATGAGATGATTTCCATTCAACTAAAATATGCATTCCGTACGATGGAATAAGTGAGGGCATACCCTACCAAACTAAATTTTCAGGTTGCAAGGTAACTAAATTTCCATCAATTCCAATTTCAATTCCAAGGGGCTGATTCCGTGCACTTAAACGCAACATTATTGTTGTTCGTTGAATTGAGTAGGAAATTAAGAGGGAAGAAACGAAAAGAAAATATTGCTAGGATCATTTTTTGGGGTGTTGTGTTTCTATGTATTGTTAGAATGGTTGAACTCTGTAATGCCTACATTTCTAATGAGATCCTCTCTTTTCCCTTGAAACCCTTTATTCCAACTGTGAATTATTATTTTGGTATAATATTTTTGGTTACTGAGCAACGGAATAACTTCGAGTTAGGTTTCAGTTTATAACTGTCTTGAAAGTTATGCTATGCTTGGTTATTGATATATTCGAATAAAAAGAAAAGAAAAAGTAAACCTAAAGTAAGCAAACAGCTAGGTCATTTTTTTGATTTGTTGAAGTAATATATTTGTTTTATGTAGATTAGGGGTTGTAACATTCTACTATTTAGTTGGTTACGTGGGTTACCCATGAATTGCTTTGTGTGGCTAATGTTCTTGACACCACAAAAAAAAGAAAAAAGAAAAAAGGCCACTGAGTATTCTGGTCCAGCCAATGTGGGATGCCAGGAAGTATTGTTGTATTGTTTTACCAAAAAGTATACCCTAGTTATTTTCTTCAAATACGCCTATATATATATATATATATATATATTATATATACACGTATATATGCGCACGCACATATATTAATGTATAATTAAATGTTAATACTTTTATTTGATGCTGTGGGCTTTTATTTGTGTTGGTTGAAGTTCTGATGAGGAACTTCACCACTATTTGCAATCTATTTTAATGTTGCCTTAAAATTGTTAATTTATTACCAACAGGCCAATAGCTTAGCGGTATCGGCCTCTTACCTCCCAAAGGGAGGTCAGGGATTCAAGTCTCAGAAGAGACACATGTGTGTGAGTACCAACTAGGAAAAAAAAAAAAAAATTGTTAATTTATTTTGAAAATATTATTTTTTGCACTTCTAATGAATTGAAAGGGTTAAATTTTTACTTAATATTAGGGTGTATAAAATTTGTCTGGACGTCAATCTTAGACATTTTTTTCATAGCTTGTTTTGTTTCACAAAATTATTTTTCATCTTGTTTGATTCTGATGGTTAAAAGTGTTGAATAACTGGCGATCAATGAATGACTTGAATCATGCAGTTTGTCAACCCCTAAAACCAGATTTTAAGTTGTCAATCTTCTGGCTGTGGTAGTTGATAAATTTTAATAATGTGTTTTAACTTTTGAGTTAAACTTAAAACTGTCCTTGGCACATGTGTAGTTATGTTGCAAGTAGATCAATTGCACAAACAGTTATGTTGCAGTCATCATGACTTTGGTCGTATGGCTGTTAGTGAAGTTCCACAACTTATCTGATTTTTCCTCATCCTGTCATTGCTTGTATGCATACATATTTATTTTTCTTCATTGCTGTTTCATTCAGTTCAGCATTTTGAGAAAATGAAAGTGATTTTGATTTGTTAGGAAATGACAGAAAGAAACTAAAGCAATTAATGAGTGCGATAAATGTTTGTTTAGTATGAAATATATTTGGCAATGACACAACTGCAGAACTGGTCATGCTCAACATTAATTTAACATTACAGATCTGGGTTACTTAGCACCGTTATTGTTTGGTACTGGATGTTTATCTTTTTTTCCATAGATTCATAATTTTTTTTTTTTTTTTCTTTTTCTTAATTGACTCCCGTTCGTTATAGATTATAATTTACAAATTTGTTATGTTCTTTTGTTGTGTAATTGACCAATCATGTCAGGCTCATTCATTTTCTATATATAACAATTATAGTTTTTCCAAGTGTGAGAACACTGGTTTGAGTCTCAAGGCAGTCACTGTTTTCTAATAATACTGAAGGTAAGATCCGTATCTAGTCTGCCCCTCTTAGCACTCTCAATTTCTGCTGATCAAAGTGGGTGATGTCCTATTTTTACCATTTTGATATTAAGTGGAATAGTTTTTAGTCACAGCAGATGAAGATACTATTTATATTCAGAGTGTTGTTCTAGGCTGATCTTATATTGCCTCAGTAGTCCGTAACACGATGTTGGTGTTGGAAATATGGGTTGCTTGGAGGGAAGAGAGAAAATCTAAATAAAATAATATTGTTCTCAAGCTTGATGGTCTGAGATCTTACAATTGTGTCAATTTAATGGTTCCTTATCTTATTCTCATGTTCATTATCATCTAGAATTTGGTAATTATGTCTGACCATTCTTTCATTTATTCTATGGTCTTAAGTTTTCCTTCATGTTCCTTTCCATATGCTGTTGTTACCTTTTTCCTTCTCTCCCTGGCAGTTTATGTAGCTTTTCCCACTAAATTGTTGTTATTTATTGTATTTATTTTTTCCTTTTTGCTTCATATGGTGAGATATAAATATATGAACACTGTTTTGCCTCTTTGGTTGTAAAGATGTCGGTCTGACGGGGACAAAGCTGGGCTGTGGTGAAGGTGGCTGTGGGGCTTGCACCGTGATGATTTCTTATTATGACCAAAATCTGAAGAAATGTTGGTGAGTCACTCTCATTCTCTCTATATCCGTCATTTGTTCTGTCTATCTCTCACTCCCCTTAATAGGTACATGACAATCCTCTTCTTCCTCTGGAAGAGTTCTGACTTAGGAACTTATGATTCATGATTAGTTTTTGAACATAGCAAATGCCAGGATATGCTTGGAAAGTTTATTTCTCTTTTTCTACTCATTTTTATAATGTGAGGATGTTTTAGTGCCTTCTCCCATGTGGTGTACTGGTCAACCATGGTGTAGGGTCTAAAGAATAAAGCACCAGTTGAGAGACAGAGGGAAGCGAAAGGGAGTTTCTGCGCGTATCTTTTCATTACATAGCACCCATGATATACATTTTTGATTTTTTAAAAGTGCAAGAATCTGCAATACAGGATGAGAAGAAGTAACACAGGAATTCCATTACCCTATGGATGTGAATAAACTAAGAAATAATTTTTGAACTTTTACATTTGCTGCTGCATAGTTCATAAGAAAACAACCTCAACTAAATAATTATGTTAAGGGCAGCGAGACTATTTGAATAATATTTTCTTTTCCTGGGAGCAGAATAATGGAGATTAAGGTTTTAGTTCTCCTGTACCCATTCTTTTCCTACGGTTCCTCATCAACCAAATATCCTGAATCGGATGGCCAGTAAAGAAAAAAGAAATAAGGATTAAAGACTTTATATGTGTCTTATGGTCAACAATATATATAATTATGCCATTTTCTCATGATGGGCAACCATTTTTACATCCCTCCCGGAGAGCTTTCTTGTTCATCCAAAGTAACTTGCAACACATCTTGCTCTTTCTGTTTCAGTCTATTAAATTTTTATATGATGACATATCAGTAGTGACTTGCACAGTTGACCTGGCTTATCATAAAATATGCAAAGCACCTTAATAATTCCATAAAAAGACAAAATAAACAAAGCCTCAGTTCCAGTCACGTGGGGCTTACAAAGGAAATCAATTTTGGAAGAGAGAAAAAAAAATTAGAGTAACCAAATAGGATTTAGGGTTGCCTAAATGAATCATATTTTGTCATCCGGCTTTATCTACGTACTTGAATTATTCTCCTGCATGTTCATAAGGAGCTAGTTTGAAAAAGGTTTAACATGCTCTTCCACAGAATAACTCTGTCCTTTTTTTTTTTCAAGCTTCAGATTGTCCATGTAAATTAAAATAAAATATTAAGCCTAACATAGGATGATCAAGTTGCCATTTAATTTTCTCGTACATAATTTAAAATATTATAACATGATTTATATTTATACAAAAAAATTGATGCAAATAATCAAATGCATACGATGGTGATTCAGAGAACAATTCACGCACGGTAACAAAAACTATATTCACGTACATGCAAAACATTTAATTTCTGCACAGTACATTTATTTTCTTCTTCCCCTTTTTTCAAAGAGGCTTGGGTGAAATAGACACCTAAAAGCAATGTAGTTGAGATCATTGAAAGAAGTGAATGAGAATTGAGATCTTTTCTCTATTTTAATTCATTCCATTTGTACTTTTGTATGACTCTGTGTGCAAATCTTCAGCCGTCTGGCACTGACAAATTCAAAGGGATGATGCTAATTCATTGACAAAACTGAAAAGTTCCGTGTCTACTTAGTAGTGAACTTTTGTCAACATAGTTATCTTTTGCAGTGGAAGCATTCTAAAAGGGCTCTATCTACATTGTTCAACAATTGGATTATTGTATAATAGTAGACGAAAGAGTTGCAGTAAGATTTAGTGCATAAATTTGTTTCCTGCACTCTGTGTAGATTGGCCCCTCTCTTTCCAGAGAGAGAGAGAGAGAGCCCAAAAAAACAATGACCTAGAAGTTAGTTGAGAGTTGGAGTGCAGTAATTAATATTACACTGGCCTTAAGCATCCTTTTGGTCAAGGCGAGTTGAAAGTTCCGTCCATTGCCCACAGGGCCATCACATCACCTCTCACAGAGAGAGAGAGAGAGAGAGAGAGAGATTTTCCATCCAAGAGAGAGAAAGAGAGAGAGAGATTTTCCATCCAACTGCATGCATTTATTGTCCTTCCTACTTAACTACTATAAATACCATTAGCCACTGATCAGATACATACAGCAAATGAGCATTGCTACTCAGCCTATATACTCTCAGTTCCCACTTTGAGTGAAATATGGGGAAGTTTATTAAGAATGTTGGAGTGCTTATTGTAATGTTGTTGATGGTGCTGTTGGTAGTGGGGATAGCAGAAGGATGAAGATTTGTGAAAGAGACCATTGCTGGAGATGATTCTGGGAAAGGTGGAGGCTTTGGAGGTGGAGGAGGTTATGGTGTTGGTGTAGGTGGAGGTGCAGGTGGTGGGAAAGGTGGTGATGTAGGAGAAGGTGGTGGTGGTGAAGGTGGGAAAGGTGGTGACTATGGAGGAGGTGGTAAGGGTGGAGGTTTAGGAGGATGTGGTGGGAAAGGTGGTGTTGGGGAAATTGGAGGAGTGTCTGGTGGTGGTGCTGGGGGAGAATACAGCGGTGGCGCTGGAGGTGGAAAAGGTGAGGGAGGTGGTGGCACTGGGGGAAGGATATGGTGGTGGCGCTGGAGGTGGAAAAGGTGGAGGAGGTGGCGAGGGAAGTGGTGGGGGAATTGAAGGGTGGTCTGGTGGTGGTGGTGGTGGGGGAGAATACAGCGGTGGCGCTGGAGGTGGAAAAGGTGGGGACGGTGGCAAGGGAAGTTGTGGGGGAGGTGCAGGAGGATACGGTGGTGGTGCTGGAGGAGGATACGGTGGTGGTGCTGGAGGTGGAAAAGGTGAAGGAGGTGGCAAGGGAAGTGGTGGGGGTAGAGGAGGAGGGTCTGGTGGTGGTGCTGGGATACAGTGGTGGCGCTGGAGGTGGAAAAGGTGGTGGATGTGGCAAGGGAGGTGTGGGGGGGGAACTGGAGGAGGGTCTGGTGGTGGTGTTGGGGGAGGATATGGCGGTGGCTCTGGAGGTGGAAAAGGTGGTGGTGGGGGAACTGGAGGAGGGTCTGGCGGTGGTGTTGGGGGAGGATACGGCAGTGGCTCTGGAGGTGGAAAAGGTGGTGGAGACGGCAAGGAAGGTGGTGAAGGGGATGGTGGTGGATTTTAATTCAAAATGTCTGACTTATAAGAGGTTAAGCATAATACTAGCTATGTACGCTCATGGTTGTTACAAGTTTAATTTTTAAGTTGTACGTATTGCTAGCAGTTTAATGAAATAGTCAATAAAAATTTATCTAAGTAGCCTTTTGTAATGGTATGAATGATATCTCCTCATGTTCTGTCATTTTAATAATCTTATTATATCTATTTGCTTATTACATATATATATATAGGTTTTTATTACAAAAGATCAACCCTTGTTCTTACATACATTTTATTATTTAGTTTTCGAAATAATGCCTTGCACAGTTAATGTATAATCAACAATCAGATTTAAATTTAGTGTTCATTGTGTTTGTATCTACAATAGGTCTCCCTACTCTTTCAGCAATCATTGTCATTAAATATGATCATTATTGTTAATTATGTGCTGTTATAATTTTGTAAATAAGGAGATTTTTTTTTTCCTTGTCAAGAGAGACACCCACTTTTCTTTCCTATGGGGACTCGAACCCTCAAACTTCTATTTTAGAAGGTGAGAAAGTACCACTATACTTCTGCCTTTGATTAAACAAAGAGAAAGAATGATGTCATTTCCCCCCATTTTTCATTTAGCACTATCCCACCTCTTTAGAGTAATTAATGCTTTTAGACATATGATAGGGTGTAATGTGAAATTGTGAAGTGTCAATTTTAAGTTTAAGGAGGGTCAATTTTTAAATTTGACCTGTTAGTGTAGACCACTGCCAAACTATTCTACCCTTGGGTTGAGGATGAGTGATTCCTATGAGAATTGTCTTTTTATACTTTATATTAAAAATTTGGGTAATTTACCCTCAGATCCCCTGAGGTTTGCAACTTTCACCCTCATATTAAACTTGGGCCAAAATCATATTTGTTTTTTTCTGCATCATGTACTAGATTTTTTTCTTTTACAAGTTTATCTTTTATGCTATCTGATGTGTATTCGTTTAGTACTTAATTTGTAATGCCTTTATTTCTTTCAGGTTGCTGCGTGGTTCACATGAACTTACCATAATTATAGATGCATTTCATTTTCACCATCTGTTATATCAACCATAAGGTAGTAATTACATTTATTATTTTGAAACACTTCTTTAGGCATTATGCTATCAATGCATGCTTGGCTCCTCTGTATTCTGTGGAAGGGATGCATGTAATTACAATTGAGGGAATTGGAAATCGCAGAAATGGCCTGCATCCAGTTCAGGTATAGTACTCTAGAAATTCTCTCCTTGTGTTATTTTGGAAACTACAGAGGACCTCAGGCTCTGAAAAAGTATTCATGTGTTGTCTGTAGGATTTATGCTTGATGGAAATACACCTTGAATGTAGACCTCTGTATTCACACTCTTTATTGAGTTACCGGCTACTGGGCAAGACCTTTTGCATGATGAATGCTTGCATTTAGAAAATTTAGAGAAGAATTTCTTAACCTCATTTGTTGAATAGGGTTTCACTTGTCTGTTTTCTTGCTTTGACAGCAGTTAAAAAAAGGGAGGTTATGCTTATGCTTTCACATTGAACTGTTGATCACTCTCTACTTGTTGGCCCAATTGCACCTTTTAGTTTTGTAATTGAAGTATTCAAATAGTAATTGAAGAATTGAGATCTACGGAAAGTGTGGTTTATGTTATTTTCATTTAAGATAAAGTTCACATTAAAGGGTAGATGATGGATATTCCGACAAATTTGGTTGTCTGGAACTTTGGAGTCGGCACAAATGCAGAATTTTTTTTTTTCTTTTTCTTTTTTTGGGTGACAAACCTGAATATGCTATTTTATTAATTAGAATCTTCTTAAAATTTTCAATGGTATTCGAATTGTTTCTACTTAATTCTTAAATCATAATGTCCTTATTTTTCTTTAAAATTTGTAATAAGTATTGAGTAGTAAATGTTTTTGTTTATTTATTTTTTAAGTTGCTTGTAATGTAAAATCCTCTAGTGCTATTTATATGGAATAAAAATGGATATGCTTGGTTAACGTTGATGTTCAGTTCTTGCTCTAACTTCATCTGATGAAAAGGAAGTTAGTGTCTGTGTGCACGTCTGGGTGTATATGTTTGAAAGAAATAATAGATATTGTTGCGTATATAAATGCTGGAATTTTTGTACTATTATTGATTCTATTCAGATATAAATGACAGGTGTCTTAGGGTTTCAGTTTTCAAACAGATGAAATAGATTTTTCATTGCTCACTTCATGTACTTAATGATCATATCCATGATAATCACATTTATTTTTGTGTGTTTCATGCAAACAACCGGATAAATTGTTTTCTAAATTCAGAATTGGAAGGAATCTTTTTCTTTTCTAAAATAAAATTTTGTCACTTTAACCATTGTGTGGTGCAGTGGTACACAATGGTAAAACTTGGGCTGTTAAAAGTAAGAACACAGGTTTTAGTACAAGGATAGCCACTTTATGCAATTAATGTGAGGTTAGGTTTGTATTGAGTTTACACCCTTCCTAACTCCAGCACCATCAATTAGCGGAATCACACGGGAATGACTTTTGATCATTATTTCTCATATACCATAACAATAACATAATAATAAGGTTTGTGATTCATATCATACAATTTGAAATTTTGACTTGATTCAGAAGGTCAGATATTTATCTGGTTCTGGTCAAGAGTTAAGATTTTGTTGGAATCATAGGAATAACATTGTGTTTTTTTAGAGAGTATTTTTTTTTTTTGATAAGTAAAACTGTATTAGAAAGCGTTCAAAAGGGGAGCGCGTCCCAAGAGCTATACAAATACCGAAACCAAAAAGGGAGTCCTATGGTCCCAAAGAACCCAAAAATTCCACAATTTCATCTAAAGATATACAATTTCTCCCCATCACCCAACTAAAAAAAGAACAAATAATAGAAAACTTCAATGCCCCAATGGAGGATTCCTCTCCATCAAAAGATCTTCTATTTCGCTCTTTCCAAAGACTCCACCAAACACAGAGGGGTGTCGCCCTCCAAGAGTTATGAGCATGAACCCCCACCTTGTGGCCCCTCCACACGTCAATCAAATCCCTTGAAGTCCGGAGCATAATCCATTGGAAGCCAAATAGACCAAAAATAAGATTCCAGCAGTCATGAGCCACGGGACAATGCAAGAGAAGGTGATCCACAGACTCTCCATCATTCTTACATAGACAACACCAGTTGATTATGATTTGTCTTCTCTTTCTCAAATTGTCCAAAGTCAAAATCTTGCCCCAAATTACAGTCCAAACAAAAAAAGCCACCCTAAGAGGAGCCTTCGAATGCCAAACTGTTTTCCATGGGAAATTGGAACCGTGAAACTCGGAGAGGCAAAGAAAAAAGGAATGGACCTGAAAAGTCCCCTATGGAGGAGGCATCCAAGATAAGGAATCCGAACCAGTACCATCCACCTACTGTCTATAAAAAAAGGTCCAGCAAGCTAGTCATGTTGTCCAACTCCCAATCTTGAAAGGATCACCAGAATCGCACATTCCAAGACAACCTACCACTATTGAGTCGATAACAGTTAGCTACCAAAGCATGTCTATCAACAACAATCCTGAACAACCTTGGGAACAAACAAGACAATGGGCGATCCTCGCACCAAGTATCCTCCCAAAATCGGACGTCCCTTCCCTCTCGAACTCTGAATCTAATATGCTTAGAGAACTCATCCCATCCCTTTAGAATGGATTTCCACACCCCTACGCCGACAACAGATCTGACCGGCCTAGATGACCATCCCTTTCTCTCCTCCCCAAAGTGATACGAAATAACCTTCTTCCATAACCTATGCCTTTTGCTACCGAATCTCCATAACCACTTGCCTAGGAGCGCTCTGTTGAAGGGGGCCAACCTCTTAATCCCAAGACCGCCCAATTGAAAAGGCCTGCAAACTTGCTCCCACCGGACAAGATAAAATTTAAACTCCTCCCCTCGGCCGCCCCAGAGGAAGTTCCGTTGAAGCTTCTCAAGTCTTCCAGCAATAGAGGAGGGGATCTGGAAAAGTGAAAGAAAATAAGCGGGAAGACTGGACAATGTACTCTTCACCAAAGTAACTTTCCCTCCCTTTGAAAGATATTACTTTTTCCACTCAGCCAACCTTCTCTCGAAACGCTCTATCACCGGGTCCCAGCTTCCCACCCTCCTTGACGAATCACCCAACGGCAAGCCCAAGTAAGAAATAGGGAAGGAGCTCGTCCCACACCCTAAAACCGCCGCAAGAGAAGCCACCTCCTGAACCTTCCCCCACAGGAACAAGCACACTCTTATCCACGTTTTTTTAGAGAGCATTATTTTGTAGTTGTCTAAATTGCCTTTTTTTTTTTTTTTTTTTTTTTTTTTTTTCTACCTCTCTCTCTCTCTCTCTCTTCTTTTCTTTTTCTTAACTTGGAAAACAGAAAATTGTTCTCTGAGTAACGACTTAAACATGCCATGAATCTCTTTGAAACTTTATGAGGAACATACCTTCAGTTGGTTATACAGGATCTGAGATTTAATTTCTTGGGATAAACCTCAGGTCAGATAATATTAGAAATTCAATGGTATTAAAGAAGAAGGCCTACGCTTTTTTAAAATGGACTTTCAGAAATAATAATCTATTATGGTAAACAAAAAATAAATGGAAAAGGGACAATAGAAGACCTGGAAAGTATTCCCTGTATTTGATGTTCTTATTGACATCACATATATCTGGTGAGTTGGCAAGCAAATCCACCTTTTCTAACTAATGTGTTAGACAACAATAATAGCTAAATATAAATTCTATGACAAATGAAAAGAAACAAATATTTGAATGGTTAATGAGAAACAAATATTTGAATGGTTAATGTGTATGAAGAAATAATTTCTATTATTGAGATATCTAGGAAAATTATTAGGGGCAGTCTCTTTGGTAACAGGGCAATAAATATTATTCATTTCTAGAATGGTGCTAACATAGTTACTTTTATTGTGAACTGTTGAAAGAAAAATAAAAGTTGAATAGAGAAATTAAAACATGAAGAACACAAGAATATAGCGTGGTTCAGCTACCGTTAGGGCTTACATCCATGACACACAATGCCCAAAGGGCTACATCTCTTTCATTACATTCTCTCTCATTTTGTTTACAAAATCCACCTCTATTTATAAGTGAATTGGGCTTGTAACTAGAGAATAGAAATTTCTTGCTCTACAAATATTTTATTATAAAGGAATTACACAAAGTCAAATACAAATGTGGTAACAACTTGTTGCCCAAGTATAGCAACGTTAACATTCAGTCAAGGAGTTCTGTCAAGGGCTTAAATCACTCCTATAATTATTCTCCAACGTGAACTGTGTCTGAAACTCCTAATATGTTCTGCAGGAATCATTAGCAATCTCTCATGGTTCACAATGTGGATTTTGTACTCCTGGTTTTGTTATGTCCATGTATGCATTATTAAGGTCAAGCCAAACACCACCTAGTGAAGAGCAGATTGAAGAAAGCCTTGCTGGAAATTTGTGTCGATGCACTGGTTACAGACCAATTGTTGATGCCTTTCGAGTCTTTGCGAAAACAAATAATATGCTATACGTTGATGAATCACCAATGAACCTTCCTAGGGGTGAGTTTGTTTGTCCTTCAACTGGTAAGCCATGTTCATGTGGATCAAAAATTGCATGCAAAGAAGACTCTATTATGGAAAGTGTGGCTTGTGGCAATGCGCACAGGCCTGTCTCTTACAATGACACTGATGGCAGTGCATACACCACCAAAGAGCTCATTTTCCCTCCTGAGCTGTTACTGAGGAAACTTACTTATTTAAATTTGAGTGGATTTGGTGGGCTTAAGTGGTATCGGCCCTTAAGACTTCGACATGTATTAGACTTGAAAGCAAGATACCCAGATGCAAAATTGGTGGTAGGTAACACTGAGGTAGGAATCGAAATGAGGTTGAAAAGAATTCAGTATCAGGTTTTGATCTCTGTCATGCATGTACCTGAACTAAATAAGTTGAGTGTGAAGGATGATGGCTTGGAAATTGGTGCTGCAGTAAGACTGTCAGAACTTCTGAAAATTTTTAGAAAGATAATAAAAGAGCGTGCTGCTTATGAGACTTCATCCTGCAAGGCTTTCATTGAACAGATAAAGTGGTTTGCAGGGACCCAGATAAAAAATGTTGCATCTGTTGGTGGGAATATCTGTACTGCCAGTCCGATATCAGACTTGAATCCTCTCTGGATGGCTGCTGGAGCAAAGTTTCAAATCATTGATTGCAAAGGAAATATCAGAACGACCGCGGCGGAAAATTTCTTCCTGGGTTACCGGAAGGTTGATCTGACTGGTGGTGAAATTTTACTTTCAATATTTTTACCCTGGACTCGGCCGTTTGAGCATGTGAAAGAGTTTAAGCAGGCTCACCGAAGGGATGATGATATTGCAATAGTAAATGCTGGAATGCGTGTTTGTCTTGAAGAAAAGAATGAAAACTGGGTAGTTTCAGGTGCATCAATTGTTTATGGGGGGGTAGCTCCTCTTTCTCTTTCTGCATTAAAAACAAAGGATTTTCTTATTGGGAAGAATTGGAACCAGGAGGTGTTACAGGGTGCTCTGAAAACTTTGGAGGAGGACATTTTGCTCAAGGACAATGCACCTGGTGGGATGGTGGAATTCAGGAAATCTTTAACTCTTAGTTTCTTCTTCAAGTTTTTCTTGTGGGTTTCTCATCAAATGGAAGGGAAGAAATACTTTACGGAGAGTGTACCATTGTCTCATCTATCAGCTGTACAACTGTTCCACCGGCCATCCGTTATTGGAAGTCAGGACTTTGAAATTACAAAATATGGGACAGCTGTGGGACTTCCTGACATTCACCTTTCTGCAAGACTTCAGGTATGGATGCTCTAAGAACAACAGTTTTGTAGTTTATTATTGATACAATTTCATCTTTGCTGACGTATTTATGTTGTTCTTAATGTTCTTATAGTTTATTTTTACTTGTCAAAAAAAAAAAAAAAAAAAACGTTTTTATTTTTTGAATGGTTTCAAGTTAGATGCATAACCACATGCATAATCCTACCATGTGCTGTCATTGAGTCATTAGGAAATCCTCTCTTGAAAAAGTGATTTAATCCAATTTCTCTCACACTTTGTTTGCATGGTTGAACCATAGCTCTATACCTAGCTTCTTCAATTGACTGTCACTAAAAGCCGTTGATTCAATTTTGCTTCGGTTAGGTATCCTTTTGCTGGTGATTCGGCTTTGCTTCAGTTAGGTAACCTTGTTTCTAGCCAGTTTGATCATGTAAAGATGTTAGTATATAGAATTGAGATACTAAAATGTTGTTTGTGTTATAAAATATTTTTATTTTGTGGTTAGTTTATTCTCTTTTCTCGTCAGCCCTCTTTAGGGAAAATTTTGTTTTATTCTTGTGATTTCGTTTTCTTTGTACTTTTGAATTACACAATACATGATTGTTGTTTCTTCTCTTCTTTACTATGCAAACCAGCAATTGCATATCTATCGTTATATTTGAGCAGAATCGATCGTGGGAATTGAATCGCACCTGTTGATTGTGTCATCAAACAAAGACATCGCATCACAATAATCGCAAACCCTAAATGACGATTGTGCCATTGCAGCATCTATAGCAATTTTTGACTCCCGTAGCATCGACTCTCTTTCTTTGTTCATCATTGCAGTATGGTTTTGTTAGAAGTATGCAAACCCTAATTGATATCTGTTAAATTTTGGATGCGGAAATAAGAAATGCAAATAGGAAAAGGGAAGAAAGAAAGATAGAGAACACATGCATATACATGGTTCGGCACTAAGGCCTACATCCTTGGAAAAAGAGCCACTAAGGGCTATATTTTTATTATTCAGATATATTTTGCTCGAGTACAAAGAGCCTATATATAGGCACGGTAAAGATGAGAAAATATGGAAGGTGTACAAAAATCAAAGGAGGCACCATGATTGGTGGTGTTAGAAATTTGTCTAAAATTCATTTATGACATGGCAAAAATCTTTTGGCTAACGAAGTGTGATGGTGAAGCCTCCAAATTAGCTTCTAAAGGAAGCTTTGAAATACTTGAGCAACAAGAATTATTCTTGGGCAGCAAGAATTATTCTTGGGCAACAAGTGTTATTTGGCTTCCAAAGGAAGCTTTATAATATACTTGGACACCACGTATATTTTTGGCTATAAATAGCCTTGCACTCATTCGATGAAAAGCATCCGAGAGGCATCCAAGAGTAAGACAATATTCGGATCAAGAGAGTATATTGGTTTTGTGTGTGTGAGAAAATCCTTTTGTGTGTGCAATCTTCAACTGACACTTGAAGCTTGTCTTTGGGTGGGTTTTTCTCTTTGTGTAAACCATATACTATTTGGGGTATTTGTTGAGTGTTGAGTGAGTCTTCTTTGTTGGTGAGTGAGTGGTGTGAGAAAAGAGATTATTGTGGGAAAGAACCAAAACGTTCTTCAGTTTGTAATCTTCTTCTTTATAATGATACGAATCATCATCGCCCGTGGACGTAACCCTTTTTGTGAGGGTGAACCACGTATAAATCCTTGTCTCATTTGTGTGTGCCTATTTTTTTTTCTTGTCATTATTTTTCTATTGTTCTCATAAACTCCTATTCGATCCTTATTTCATAGCAAACTGGTATCAGAGCTCGGTTCGTGTATTGTGTACAGATACTATTCGGGTACTGTTCACAAATTCAGTACTATTCACTGAGAAATTTTTTGGGGAGTTTTTTGAGATATCGACAAAATACGAGATTGAGAAATTTGATGGCAAGATTAGTTTCAGTCTTTGGCGTATTAAGATGCAGGCCCTGCTCACTTAGCAAGGTTTTGGCAAAGGAAGAGTTAGAAAGTGGAGTTACGATCCTAGTTCTCTAAAGGGTTGTGAGGGGACTACATAACGTGGTGGAGAATGAAATCCGTTTTCAGATGGCAACTGAAATTGCAGCAATCCTTACATGGAGGCAGACCTATGAGGACAGGTGTGATATTGACTTGCAATAATCTTGGTGGCAATGAGATAGTCCATTCGAGTGCCATTAAGATGTGTGGGAGGCAAGTAATTGGTCACACTAGAGATACAAGGAAAAGTCAAGGACGTCCTATTCTCTACAAGGGTGAGAAGATGACTTTTCATTACCAGCCGGTGGTTTGTGGGCGGTTGGAGATGGTTGCTAAAGGAGATGTTAAACTTGGAATTTCTAAAGTTGGTTTTGGAAAGGATTTAGAGTTTGACACAAATACTGGAAGTATGCTTGTGGCTGCGCAAGACATGCATGGGTTGAAGAATGAGAGCCCGAGGGTTGAGTTTGAGGATGACTTAAACTTAACTAAAATTCTTTATTAATTTGTTTTGTGTTGGAGATGATGATGGCGTTATTTTTTATTACTCACATTGTGTTGAAGGAAGACTTTTTATGGTGTTGTCTTATCATTTGCACAAAGGTGGAGAATTTTAGTCAAGGTGGAGATATGTTAGAAATTTGTCTAAAATTCATTTATGACATGGCAAAAATCTTTTGGCTAAAGAAGTGTGATGGTGAAGCTTCCAAATTAGCTTCTAAAGGAAGCTTTGAAATTCTTGGGCAGCAAGTGTTATTCTTGGGCAGCAAGTGTTATTTGGCTTCCAAAGGAAGCTTTATAATATACTTGGACACCAAGTATATTTTTGGCTATAAATAGCCTTGCACTCATTCGATGAAAAGCATCCGAGAGGCATCCAAGAGTATATTGGTTTTGTGTGTGTGAAAAAATCCTTTTGTGTGTGCAATCTTCAACTGACACTTGAAGCTTGTCTTTGGGTGGGTTTTTCTCTTTTTGTAAACCATATACTATTTGGGGTATTTGTTGAGTGTTGAGTGAGTCTTCTTTGTTGGTGAGTGAGTGGTGTGAGAAAAGAAATTATTGTGGAGAAGAACCAAAACGTTCTTTAGTTTGTAATCTTCTTCTTTATAGTGATACGAATCATCATCGCCCGTGGACGTAACCCTATTTGTAAGGGTGAACCACGTATAAATCCTTGTCTCGTTTGTGGGTGCCTATTTTTTTCTTGTCATTATTTTTCTATTGTTCTCATAAACTCATATTCGATCCTTATTTCATAATAGGTGGAGGCTTTTGCTCCACTGTCATATAGAAATATTTATAATTGGAAGGAAATTGACTGGATCACCATGATCGGTGGAGGATTTTGCTTTACAATTATATAGAAATATTTATATATTTCAACACTCCCCCTCAAGTTGGAGCATGAATATCATCAATGCCCAACTTGCTAAAGAATTGCCTTGAAAGATGATGAGAAGGTGTCCGGAACAAAGCTAGGAAATTAACCAGGAAATTAACCAGATCTTGCTGGGGAAAATGACTAGATCTTGTCGGGGAAAATAAACTGGAACTCGCCGGGGAAAATGGGTGGAACTAAGCCGGGAAAAGACCCGAACAACGTCGGGAAATTGCCGGAACTAAACCGGGAAAAGCCGGAACAACACCGGGAAATGGCTGGAACTAAGTCGGGAAATGGCCGGAACGATGCTGGGAAATGGGCTGGAATAACATCGGGGAATGCCGAGGTGCTGAACCATTCGAAAAACGGACCGGAAGGGAAAGGAATGTGAAGACATGGAGAATATGCTCTATGATAATAGTACCAATACTCTCCCTCAAATTCTAGATGAGATTACAAGAACATCTAGGCTCTGATACCATGTTAAATTTGGATGCGGAAATAAGAAATGCAAATAGGAAAAGGGAAGAGAGAAAGATGGAGAACACATGCATATACATGATTCGGCACTAAAGCCTACATCTATGGACAAAGAGCCACTAAGGGTTGCATTTTTATTATTCAGATATATTTTGCTTGAGTACAAAGAGCCTATATATAGGTACGGTAAAGATAAGAAAATATGGAAGGTGTACAATAGTCAAAGGAGGCACCATGATTGGTGGAGGATTTTGCTCCACCGTTATATAGAAATATTTATAATTGGAAGAAAATTGATTGGATCACCCTGATTGGTGGAGGATTTTGCTCCACTATAATATAGAAATATTTATATATTTTGACAATATCAATTGCGGCAATTACATCGCATCAACCATTGCATTGCAACAGTCTTGATGATCGCATCGCAACATCTTGACTTTGTTCAACCTCGCATCTAGTCATCTTGCATCACATCACTTTCTCTGTTAGAATCCTTCTCTGTTTGAGTCACAGCCCTTTCGACTCGTCTACTGTTTGCAACTTTTGACTTTTCACACTCTTGGAATCGCATTGCCTTGACTCACGATTTCGGCTCACATTCTTGATCCATCAAATTGTTTCTTCTTTGCTTAAATCACAACCCTTAGATCTTCTCGGCTTGCATAGTAGTGACCCAATTGCATAATATCGCATTAAATAGCAGTCATAATCCTCGATTCTTCTCTGTTCACAGTGGTTTTTTGGCTATGAATTATATTAAAGATGGCCCAGTGGTAATACTTATTCTTTTAAGGCTATTAGTGCGAGGTTTTCTGGTGACAATTACGCTTATTGGGCATATGGGATGAAAAACATCATGTTGGATAAGAAAATGTGGGATTATCTTACTGGATTTGTGTCAATCCCAACAAGTAATAAGATAGAAAATTATGCTGAATTGTTGTCCACTTGGAAAGTGAAAAATGCAAACGGGTCAGTGGCATAGCGGTATAACCGTATAAGGCCCTTACTTCTCAAAGGGAGGTCAAGGGTTCAAGCCTCAGTGGAGGCATGTATGTGTGAGTATCAAGTAAGAAAAAAAAAAAAAAGAAAGAAAAATGCAAAGATAATTACTTGGATAAATAATAATGTGAATCAGTCTATTGGTG